GCAAATAAGTGCTGATAAACAACTTTTAAATCAAAATGTTTGAAATACCCTTAAAGCTGTTTATATAATAAAAGTTAATTAATTTATATTTTACAGCCATAAATAATTATATTTTGCTATCATTCACATATTTCTTTCTCATCACAAATTATTTATAAGAGAAATATAAACTTATTATAGATTTTAAAGATATATAATTTGAATAGATCAAAGAACGATTTAAGATTTTATTTTAGTTTCATCCATAGGTAATAATAATAGTCTATCATTCACATATTTCTTTATTATCACAAATTATTTATAAGAGGAATATAAATTTTTATTTAAGTTATATGTGCAACTTATTTTACATTTTAATAATATATAATTTGAATAGGTCACTTGAAAGATTTAAGATTTATTTTATTTTCATTCATTAGTAATAGTAATTGTCTATCATCCACACGTGAAAAGGGAAAATAGAAGAAAGAGATGGTTAGGGTTATGTGGGTAATTTGGAGATTGTATAAAAATATTAAGGGTAAAAAGGTAAAAATATGGTCAACTTAAAACAGCTTATAAGCTGGAAAAAAAAAAAGCACCCTACCCCAGCTTTTAACTTTTGGCTTAAAATAAATTTTTTTAAACTTAAAATAAGTTATTTTGAGGATTGTCAAACAGCTAAATAAGTCAAAAATCAACTTTTAAGTCAGTTTGACCAGCTTTTAAGCTGAGCCAAATAGGCTCTTAGTCAAGGTATCAAGGTTGACACTTTGTTTTGTTTAGTAGAAATCGTCTTGCAGGTAAAGTCGAGAGGTTCATCACGATAATTTCACGTGCAATAGTATAATTTTTTCTTTTCCTGCAAAGTCATATGTTAATATGTTTTTAGTTCAGCTGCAGTAATATTTCTAGTGAACAAAACAAGGTGTTTTTCTTATGACCTCTCAGATAGAGTTATTATTTCTACTAAATATATAAAAAGACGATCGGACATTTCATATATAAAATTTTGGGCGAAATTAACGTCAAAAAATAGGCAAAAATTTAGGGAAGGACAAAAATGCACCAATATTGCAAACATGAGGACTATAAGTGCTCCATGTGAAAAATCAAGGATCACTTTGAGCCTTAACCCAAAGATGAAGTATTATTTTGAGCCTTTCCTCCAAAAAAAATTTCAGAGCAGCCCATAGATATAGCAAGTCATGAATTACCTTATTCTTCTTTCTTTAGTTTGAAGTATATTTGTTTTTTAAGTTGTCAAATACTTAATGGAAAGAAAGATGTTTTGTATATTATGATTGTCATAGTTAGTAGCAAATTACAATTACGAATTTTCAAAGGCTAAGAAACAAACATAAAATACTAAAAATTATTAAGTAAAATGGTGCATTTAAACTTTTTGATAAAATGCCTAAATGAACTTTTCAAAAATTAGAAAGAGAAAAAAGGAAATCAAATTTTTTTTAAAAAAAAATAGTCTTTTCAATGTTTTTTCATTGTTGGGATCCTCAAATTTATCTCTGATGTGTCTAATTCGGGTGTATCTCACGCATTTTGTCAGGTAGGATTCGAGTGTCTTTTTATAGTTAAGGTGTCAATTTATGCAGTGACAAAGTTAAAAGGTCAAAGTTATAATTTGAAGTCAAGTTAAGGATCCGATTATGTGTTATGCCTATAATATATGTTATATATATAAGAATATACATATCCATCATTAATTTATATTTGTATAACAATAAAAAATAATGATAATATTTTTATTTTTATTTTTTTCTGAATTGAAGTAGGAAAAATATTTGCTAATTTTTAAAAAATATTATTAGAAAAAGAATATGTCAAAAATAAAACAATAATATATTTATTTCGAAATGAGTATTTTTGACCCATTAAATAACAATAAGGACATTTTTGAACCAAATTATTGTCGATAAGGCACTTTTGGACTGAACTACGAAAGAAGGGCATTTTTTCCTTACGTATAGTTTAAGGGTATTTGAAGTCAAAGTATTGATGGTAAGGATATAATTTAGCCAAACTATAAACGGATGACATTTTTGTTACTTTCATATAGCTTCGTTGGACATGTTCCTTTGACATGTTTCAATAGTCAGCTTTCTTCTTCTCAACATTTCTGACCCTTTTCGTAAAACTAATTTCAAATAATTTTTTTATTTTATTTTTTTAAACTCATGTATTTAATTTTTCACATATACATTATTTTTTGAATTCTTTGATTATTATTATTTGACTTTTTTATTATTATTTTATTTTTTCTTTCAACTTTTGGTGTAAAAATAAGAGAAATAAAAAGAAAGAAGTGAGAATAATAAAAGAGAAAAGGAATTTAAAACTAATTTTCTATATTGTAATTTAGCTTTTATATATGTGAACTAAATTTGGGGCATCTATAATAATTTTTACAAAAAAATGATTTAATAAATAAATTTGACCAGCAAATTAAAAAAAATTACCTAATTTTATTTGACAGAAAAATTGAAAATTTAAAAAGACCTTTTTAGTCTTGTGATTTGAAATTAAACTTATGCAATATACTAAAATACTCTTTAATTTTGTTACCTTAAACATGTTACTTAAAAAATTAAAATTAAAATGTTGGCCCAAAAAATTGACCATTCTTTTTTAAATATAATAATAATTATAATAATAATAATAAGAAGTCACTCTTTTTTAAATAAACTTAAATATAAAAAGACGTTTAAGTTAAAGCTCCATGACATAATTTTATGGGACTCCATATCAGAGTTGTTTATAGAGTTGAAGTTTTGTTTGAATATGCTATCTATATTTAAAAGTATTTCTTTTTTTTGCTAGTAGACTATAAAATTTCATAAATTGTAAAAATTATTAAGATAACTCCAATTGGTTATATATATAACCTTGCCAAATAAACAAAAGTTCAAAATAGAAATATAATACACATCTACCACAAAGTTATTATAACAAAAAAAATACAATATTTATTAATCAAACTTTAGTTTAATAAAATAATAAAATTGAACACGAATTGTAGATTATAGTATACTACTCCTTTATATAATCCTCTCACATACTACAGACGATTGACAACTTTCTCACATTCATCATGCATTTCTCAATATAAATGATATACATGTTGTTAAAAATAGTAATATCAATTATAAATTTAATTGATAAGAATAATAGTTATATATGATATAACTGGTTTAAAAGTTTGTAAGGATAACAATATCAACTATAATATTATTTACATATATAATAAATGATTATAAGATATAAAATAGTGGATTTTTTATTTTTACGAAATACAAACAAGTAGATCAATTTCTATAATTGAAAAATATATAAAACTAAATATTCAAACACCAATTTTATTTCATTATTTTTAAATTATGAGATAAAATCACGTGTCCAAACGCTAATTAAGAGAGTGTCTCCATTGACTTCTGAAAGTATTTGGTAAATATAAAATAGAATAACTTAAAATAAGTTAGACCATCTCCAATCCCACTCTATTTTACTCTCCATTCTCTATATTTGGTGAGTAAAATAGAGAATGGACTCTCCAATCACCCTCTATTTTCACTGTTTATTCTCTATATATATAGAGAGTTGAATATTAGTTCTCCAAACTATTCTCACTCTCTATTTCACTTTTTCATTATTTTATTATTTTCTATTATTTTGTTATTAACATATTATTTTTCATATAAAGTTATGAATTAAATCTCTAATATTTGAAATTTTTTTAAATGTAATATGATATTTTTTACAAATATATATTATTTAATATATACTACATATATTCCGAATTAATAATATTTTATTTTATTTAATTTTTTGTCAATTTAATATAATTTAATTTTATTATTAATTTTCACTATAAAAAATGCACGGTTTTAAATGGTCTATAATTGTTCAAAATATTCGTAATTGACGTTCTCAATAGAAGAAATATTACACGATGAAAGAATAATTGAGTCGAAAAGATGTTGAACGTACATTCGGAGGTTTGCAATCACGTTTTGCAATTATCATAGGATAATCACGTTTTTTCTGGAAAAAAGAAAGTGCTACATGATATAATGACTACATGTATTATATTGCACAACATAATTGAGGATACACGTAATCTTAATGCACCAATTCAAGATGTCGTAAAGGCTCCAATCGCAACAAAAAAAATGGTGATAGACGAAAATTTTCAATTGGAACAATTTTTAGCTAGACATTAAAAAATTACGGACAAAAATGCTCATTTTAAATTCCATTATGTGTTAATAGAATGTGAGCAAAGTAATACTAATATTGAAAGTTGTGTATTTATGTAATGCTAGTATAATCAAATTTCATTAATAATATTGAAAGTATATATGTAATGCTTGTATAATCAAATTCAATTAATGATTTCACTTTTATTTAAATTGTTCATTAATTTGTTTATTACATAATATTTGCTTTAAGGTATGTTATTTAGAAATTTATAATAAAATATAATTTTATATTAAAAAAATTGTAAAAAATAAAAATTTATATACATGAAAATAATATAAAAATGATTATTTCGAAAAAAGAAACAATGGATTTATATTATTAAATAAGAAAATAAGACTGAAATAGAAATAATAATATAATATTAAGAAGAGAGAAAAAGTAAAAAGAGAATTGAGTTGGAGTTGGATAAAAAGGCTATATTTGGAGAGTGAAATAGATTACAGGGTTGGAGATGCCCTTAGAAAGTGTTTGACTAGATGAGATTCATGTGTTCAAAAGAATCCACTAGATTTTCTATATTTGTATTAAAAAGTTAAATAATACATATATATATATATATATTAACTCGTGAATTCCTAACAAAACTAATTAATGACTAAAGATAAAGAAAGGGTCGTGAAATACTTTTCACACCGATGTTTCGAGTGTGTACATAGCAACTAGCAAGTATTTTTTCACTCACTTTTCTTGATTAGCAAACATACTTGAGGTTCAAGTAAAACCAGGCCCAAACCCTTTTTAGTATTTGGACTATATAACCAAATCGTAGGCCCAAATTTTCTCTATTTATTCCCCTCTCTCTCTCCAATAATCAAATCGCTGCAAACGTTCACCGCTGTGAAACCTTTTCAGCCGCCGAGTTCCTCAAAATATCTTTTTTTCGCCCAAATCCAATCGTAAAGTTCATCTCTTTCTCTCTCTGCCTTCCTGTTTTTCACGATGCAAAAACCCTAATCATAATTTATTTAGCGGTCTTCTTATATGATTTGTCATGATTTTGTTTTCTGTTTTTTTTTCGTTTGTTGTCTGATAATTTATCGAAATGATAAGGAAGAAAAAATGAGTTCAAAGATGAAATTTTTGTTCAGTTATAGATTTCTTGTTATTAATTAGATTAACTTTTTGAATGAAAGCGAGAAAGAAAGTTCAAAGATGGAATTTTTATTTAGTTCCATTTTCTGTTTCTTAATTAGATGATATAGAGGATTCATAAAGTTGAATCCAACTAGTTTGGTATTGAAGGTAGAGTTTATTAATTGAACATCATATTTATCTTCCTTTGTTAATAGTTGTGTCATTTGTGGTTATTGACAGATCTTTCAAGCTCCAAGCAATTCTGTTTTTTTACTAGCAATGGCAACTAGTGAGTAATTGATCAATTGCCAAATTGGATATTAATTTTGTTATGCTATTTTTCTAATGTTTTTTACTTAATTGCAGGACTTCAATTTGAAAACTCGTGTGAAATTGGAGTTTTCTCAAAGCTGACCAATGCATATTGCTTGGTAGCTATTGGGGGTTCTGAAAACTTCTACAGGTTTGTTTTTTTCAATCTTGAAGTTATCTATTTCTTAATAGTATTTGGTAATATTGGAAAGTTATTTAGTTTGAAACTAAAAGATTTGAAAAAGAATCATTGGAGCTGAGCATTCAAAATTTCCAAGATGAGAACACGGAAATCAGAGATAAAGATTGAATAAGTACTTGAGCTAGGAATATGGGAAATTACAATGAAGAAAGTGGGAAATGGATAGCCTTTTCCTCGTTCACTATTTAGGAACTTTAAAAATAGACTCCAATGTCTAGGCACAAATATAAAAGTTGTTATAATCTAGTTTTCAGGTTCTCAACTCAATGAAAATGATGTGATCTGTATATTTTTTCCAGCACATTTGAGTCTGAGCTATCAGGCATTATCCCAGTGATCAAAACCTCTATTGGAGGAACAAGGATAATTGGAAGACTCTGCGCTGGTACTTGACAACAACTCTAGCTATCTTGGAAATTTAATGTCTAGTTTCTCAGTGACTCTATTGGTTAACTAATTTCACTTCTCTGACTTTGTGCAGGAAACAAAAATGGTCTTCTCTTGCCTCACACTACTACAGATCAAGGTAATAATATATTCTCCATGCTCTAGAAACATCTTTCTTATTTGCGATGTGATTAACAGTAATTTCAACAAGTGGTGCACTTGTAAATCTTTGAGGTAAAGATCCTTAACTGGACTAGTATTCAATGGGTAGAAATCCATGTTTTTGTGCACTGTGCTATTTTTTATTAACAGTGTTATCCCGGTATTTCATCGGGTACTTATGTTTTGTTTCTGCTGTGGTATGAACCCTGGTATCAGAGGTTCACACCCTTGGGCCTTCTGGATGTGTTATACCGTTGTTTGTTATGATGATAAGTCTTAGAGATACTTTTGGTGGTTTAATCATCTGTTATACTTGATACCTACATATGTATTACCTATATCTTTTGCCCTTGTTATGTAGTATGTACCACCTTTCTTGACCTATTTGTTTTTCAATTAGGTTTGATGAACTTAGATCATGTTTGGGTTGACTGATTTCAAATTGGATAATTTGATAACAATTTTTATTGCCTATGTTAAACTTGACAATATGTAATTGTCTTTACAACAAAATAAGTGTTTGGACCTTCAAAAGAAAAAATAAGGCTCACCTAAATTGATGGAAGTTCTGAATCCATAAAATATGGTAAAAAGCGTAACAATTCCTTGTGTAGCATTTCTGGTTTTATATTTTCTTTTTATGTAGTAGGATTGATTGACAACAATAGTGAAAATGAGAATGCGTCAAAAAAACTTGAACATACTAGTCCTTAATTGTCACTTGATATGATGATATCTCATGCTCATTTAGTGTAACAGAAGTTCTGCTTGAAATATTTAAATTCTTTTCTCACTAAAGCTGAATTGACTTCTATCGCTCTCATCTTTGACTTTGGTTCTGCCTTTTTATTTTTGTTTCTGCTGGTAGAACTTCAGCACTTGAGGAACAGTCTGCCAGATGGAGTTGTGGTCCAGCGCATTGATGAGCGATTATCTGCCCTGGGCAACTGCATTGCTTGCAACGATCATGTTGCTCTGACACATACAGATCTTGACAAGGTAATTAATCTGTTTGGCTACTTTTTGCGGCAAATTGGAATGATATTGTGTAGATCTCTGATGTTTATTCCCCTCCCTGTTTATTAATGTCGAGGCATAAGCCAATTATTGTGTATTTTTGGATACAAATGGTCGGCATCTCGTCTATAGTTTGTCTTATATAGAGAACTCAAGAACTCGTGAGATTAAACAAGTTAATTCTTGTCATAGAGTATTGCATTAGTGTGTTTTTCCAATATTCAGGAATGTGTAACGGGAGAAACGTTCTTCATAGATTATAGTCTCTACTCTCTAGTAATGCAGTATAATGCTACAATGTCTGTAGGAGTTCTCTCTGCCTTGTTTATATTTTGCTCAACTTTGTTTATTTTACTCTTAGGTCAATTGTTTATGCTCCTCATATTAGTGCCTCGATCCTTTACTTTTCGTTGTATTCCTATTGTTTTTACCTCAACTAGTTGCGAGTTGCTCTTCTCATCATTTTGATTAATTGGGTTCTGTCACCTAAGATTGTCAAATGTAATTTTTGTCAGGAAACGGAAGAGATGATTGCTGATGTTCTTGGTGTGGAAGTTTTCAGGCAAACAATAGCAGGGAATATTCTTGTTGGCAGCTATTGTGCTATCTCAAACACAGGAGGTTTGGTAAGTAGGCAATCTTAAATGGAGGGAACAGGGTGATGGAGGAACAATCCTAATGCATAATATACATAAACAAGAATATAAGTGTTTTCATAATATACCATTATCACTAAGTCATACTTGTCACATCAGTTTGTACTTAGCTATGGTAAATTCATATTGTTTTGTTGCCTCATCTCGCTAAGACTTCTTTTTGGAGCAGGTACATCCTCATACGTCCATTGAAGACTTGGATGAGCTTTCAACTCTTCTTCAGGTTCCTCTGGTTGCAGGAACTGTGAACCGCGGTAGTGAAGTGATTGGTGCTGGATTGACTGTCAATGACTGGACAGCATTTACTGGCTCGGACACTACGGCAACAGAGCTATCTGTTATTGAAAGTGTTTTCAAGCTGAGAGAAGCTCAACCTACTGCTATTGTTGATGAGATGAGGAAATCATTGATCGACAGTTATGTCTAAGTTATTATTTAAATTGTATGTACTACAAAATTATGGGTTGCTGCTTTAATTGTGTTTCCTATGTTAAATGGTCTCACTTGATAAAAAGCAGATTTATGTTTTTAATCTTATTTGCGTTTTCTGTTTTTCAAATGTATAATGTAGTACATTTGAGTATAAGAAATTTCTATCTCCATATAATATTTTCCATTTTCATAGTGTGTGTTTTATTTTGAAGGAAAAAGGGTTTGATATACCTCTTAACTTTGTCATTAAGAGCTGATATACCCTTTGTTATGAAAGTGGCTTATATATATGCCTACTTGTAAACAAATGGTTCACATATACCATTTTCCTCTAACGGAAATGAAAAAAATAATAATTTTCAATCTAAATTTTTATTATTTTTTTCTAAAAAATATAATCTCATATGAGTAAATTTAAGTCAAACATATTTTTTTGACTTTTTTTGTTTCAATGACTAATTTATAATTATTATTTTGATAATCAAATTTATTTATATTTCACTAATAATCTTGTAAAATTGTAGATGACCAAATTTTTTTCGAATACGAAATTAAATTACAATACACACAAAAAAATAGTTTAACTTTTTTTCTTTAAACTATTTTGAATCTAAAAATTGCTTATGACTTATGGCCAGTTGGCTCACTACAAGAACTTACGTATCATCTTATTCAAGTGGGGATAAGAACATACATGTTCTATAGCTTTGAACATGGTTAAAGTCTTCAAGAGCAACAATGTTATTAAATTAGTTAATTTTTCTACATCTATAATCTCTGCATTATTAATACAAATTCATTGCAAAAAAAAAAGTGAAACAGGAATTTAAAGAGGACATGTATATTTACACTATAGCTATGCCGACCATAATTAACAAAAATACAAAATAAACATCAATTTGAGCCTTAATTAATCATATCCACCATTGTCCAAAAACCTAAACCAAAATAAGCCTTAAAATCCTGCACAAATGCTATGTCACTGGCAAAGCTAGCTAGGGATCTATACACACTACATCTCCGTCATCTAGGAAGCATTCATCAGAATCAGAAGTACTTCCAGAAGCCGATTGCACTTCTTGGAGAAAACATTCCAACCGTTCAGGAGTAAACCAGTCTTCTGTCATCTATGAAACAACACCAAATTGCAAAAAACATCCCATTATAATGACGACCACACAAATTCCTGATATGTTAAAAGGTAAGGAGGAACTGGTATCAAAGTATCAGACAGAGGAACTCACAAAGTATGGGTATCCCTTTGAAATGCTGAAATTTTCAGGAGCACTCTCTAAGAAGAGGTTTATATAGTACAAGACAAAATTGCCACAGTCTTCATCATTTTGCTGCTGCGGAACCTGAAACTTTTTATATGAGCAAGTATCGCAAAAGGACTGAGATTAGACTACAGAGAATATTATCACCTTTGGAATCATTAGAGGGATTTTCATGATCTGGTCCTTTGTCTCTGGCCTCTGTTCTGCCTTGAATAGGTCTATAACAAATCTGCAACAGGAACACTGCTATCTTAATGGATTATCATTTCAAAGTAAGCCCAGAATGAGATATTTGGCTGAGAAAAAAAATACTTTCTGATCCCAGGGTCAAATCTCTCGGGGTTCGCCATGTGCAAAGAATCAAGCAACAACATACAAGGACTTCTTTCTTTAGATTGTAAACTTTCACCAAGGTGACAAAAGATCAGGAGACTCCAGTGACCCCTAAGAATGTGAGGATTCAGTCAGAGACATGTAAAATGTAGAATTCTGCATCATACATTTAGTACATATGAAGAAATACTTACCAGAGAACAATGGGAACAAAAACATACTCTTTTGAGAATATCTTCTTTTTCGCAATCCAGTTCAACACCTTAGCTTTGTGAGAACGTTCCGAGTACAAGGAGAACCACAAGCTGTCAAGGTACGTAAATGTGTTTCTCCTATCTTCCGGATGCAATTTCCATATGCTCCTATATGAACCACACAAAGTTAGACTTGAAAAAAATGATAAGAGTTTGTGTACCAAAGAAATATAGAGGTCTTAACATTAAGGGGTGTAGGAATTGGAATCTAACTTCAGCGGGAAACTGATCTGGCAGCTTGCTTTACAGGAAGACTCCATATGGGTAAAATGGGTACATGGAATCTACTTTAGGGAAGATATCAATATCTGGAATCACAGGGCTCCCTTGGATTGTAGCTGGTATTGGAGAAAATTGAATTCACTGAAAAACAGAATCGGAGAGTGGTATGCTCGGGGATGTTACAACCTCACTGCAAAAGGAACTTACTCTATATGTAGGTGCTACATGGCACTAGCAGGGGATCAGGTGAAGTGAGATGTTTTAGGGCTTGTCTGGAATAGTGTCTCGTCCCCCAAGCATAGATTTATTATTTGGCTTGATGAGCACTAAAGACTGGTAACTAAAAGAAGACTAGCTCATATTTATAAATATGTTGAAGATATGTCATGTTGCTTGAGTGATTCACAAGATGTGGAAACTAGCCAACATTTGTTTGAAACAGATGGAAATGATAGTATTCATCATTTACCTCGGGCTGTTTGAAACAGATGGAAATGAAGTAAATATGCTTCCTCCTTTCTGTCAAATCTTGGAGGGGCTAAAAAAAGCTTTTTGGAGGGTACTGACATCTCTACATTTAGCACAGCCCAGGAAAGGAAGCATCCTGCTCACGCAGGGTATGTGGAAGGGCCACACCCTAAGGGTGTGATGTAGGTTGCCCACCATGATGCATCAACGGCTGATTTTTACGACTCGATACAGAGACAACTTTACCATTTCTCCAAGACTCCCCTTCACCGACCTCTCTACATTTACTTCTCTTCATCTTTTGCTTCCTTACCATACAAGGAATTGCCTATTTAACTACCAGTTACTTGCGCTACACCAACCTTTCCTCACCCCAATCAAATTGCATTAGAATATGCCGTTTTACAGGAAAAGGATAAAGCAATAAAAACTTACTATATGACGTTTTACAGGAAAAGGATAAAGCAATAAAAACTTACTCCAAGTAAAGCTCAAATTTTGATGAGCCTAACCCCTTTTGACTGTTGTTCCTCCTTGATTGACCATGACAACGAGAAGCACGCAGTGGGATAACTTCAGAATCCGTTGAATCAGCTGTTATCCTACTTTTTGATCTTTTTCGTGAATGTGGTCGTGGTTTGATCTGCGAACAACAAGAAGCTTGCTGTTGGATAGCTTCAGAATCCGTTGTATTAGCTGTTATCTTATTTTTCTTTCTTTTTCGTGGATGTGGTCGTGGTTTGGACTGCAAAAAACAAGACGCTTGCTGTGTAATAACTTCAGAATCTGTTGTATTAGCTGTTATCTTACTTTTCGTTCTTTTTTGTGAATGTGATTGTGGTTTGAACTGCGAAAAACAAGAAGCTTGCTCTGGGATGACTTCAGAATGGGTTGTATCAGCTGTCACCTTACTTTTTTGTGTTGATGGCCGTGATCGTGATCTGAACTGGGACCAACTTGGGAGTTCTGTATGATTCCTTTCCTGATCAGTCACTGTGGTGAAAATTGAGCAATCAGCTTTGCAACTTTGAAATAACTAGCATAATGTTTATTTCCAATTCTGGGAGGGGGGAGCAAGATTGCTCCTTCTCACTCACTTTTTCTTTGATCAGGTAAAGTTAGATTTCATTCAATATGCATCCAGGGAATAAAACTGAGTACAAAAAAGAAGTTAGCTCCCGGTCATTCTTAAATCCTGTCTTCTTTCTAGTTCTTATAAGGTGAGATACGCCTATATAAAAACTAATGCTGATTCTCATCCCCCACAAATCATAATACGGAAAAAACTGAGTAAACAGATATGTGACCTTCAAATGGATAATATCATTGGTCAGTAGCTTAATCATTGTTCTGACATCAATCAAAGAGCTAAACCCTTCCACATCACCCACCCCAACAAATGAACACCCCCTTTGTGTGAAAGTTTCTAATCTTAGAAGAGGTTTGTTATCTAATACATTGGTTCCATTAATTTTGCTTTGTTATGCCTCTGCCTTGGGTGATTCGTACGTATGTAAAAAAAAGCATATAGCAGGAAGTTCTCTGTTAATTAGGATAGAACTCAGTGAATCTATGACAGCAGCAAGCAAACAGACAATACAAGGTATTAATGTGACAGAATTCATAGGTGTGAAAAAGTGCAAATACGAAATTATAAGGACTAGAAATGTACCTTACCCAGAAAATACATAGAATCTTACACCAGAGATTGTAATTTAACACTCATTAGATAAACTCCTCTTGTCCCAAACTAAAATCAAATAGGTCTTATCTAAGTATTGATCCGAATTTGAAGAAAATTAATTTTACATCAAATCAAATAGACAATATGAAGTTTATAATGTGTAGATAAATGCTTTTTCCAATAATTTTCCGAGATAAGGATACACAAGTCAGCAACCTGATAAAACAGTATCTAAGATTGCAGGATATTAGTAGTACCAGAATTTTGTAGTCCCTCCTTTGATTTTTGGAGTCGAGGAACATTTTTAGACAACGAGCAGTTTTGATACAAATTCTGTGTTTCTCCAGGAACATGGATGCCTTTTAGCTTTTGATTTGCAGGAACATGTATATCAACTTGCTGATGATTCACAATTCCAGGTGCAGAAGATTCTACAGCAAACCAAGAAATTGAATTTCCAAATAAACTATGGTTCCATATTAAAAATGTCATTTTTCTATAGTAGTTGACACCATAAAAACCCAACATGATCTGGGAACACCAAAATACTGCTTAAAAGGGCTACTATAACATTGCTTGGTCTTTCCAAAAACTAAAAACATACTCATGCAAAATATAAGGAGGTTCTTCTACTTGGTTCCATTGATACAAACAATAACATCAAAGAAGTTGTTGTAGAAGAAAATGTAAGGAGACCAAGTTCATTTTGAGCATATAACTTCCTTTGGCTTATGAAATCAAACAAATGTAGAACATTATCAAGGTACTCACACCTACAAACTTATCATTAGCATAAATTCTACTACAATGTCACAATTTTCCATAACTTGTATTAGCATCAAACCCTAGTTCGTCGTTCGCCCAAAAAAAAATCAATTTCAAAGTGAAATTCGAAAACTTGTGCGTAGTGAAGTTTGATTACCTGAAGGATTATGAAGAAGGGGATTGTTAGTGCTCTTCATCTTCACTCCACGCTCCCGCTTTGACATTCTTCTCAACTCGACGATGAAGAAGGGGGTTGTTTTCTTTTAACTCCACTAAAACCTCATTAGATTTATACTCGATAAATTAATAATAATATAATTCTTTTAACGTAATATTTTCCTCTGACTCTTGATTTGCGCCAATGGAAAAATCATATATTTCAATAATAATGAGATACTTCATTTTTAGAATACCGCTACGTAAATATATACGGTCTTATTAATATTATAAATTAATATCTTTAAAAAAATATATATAGATATATAAGACACTATAATGAAACATAATTCTCTTATATTTTATTTTTTGTTATCCATCTTCCTTCCCTGCAACGTAATGGCTAATGCGGAAGGCCATCCTAACAATAAGGTCTTCCCTGTCTCGGGAAAGGGTCCTCTCCTCTTCTTCCAGGGTTTGAATTTTTATTGTTTTCTTCTTGTTTTAAATTTCTAGATCAGTTTTATATCACATTTGTTAGGATAAAGTGTTAGTAGATATAACAAGTGAGTCGAATATAACAAGTGTTAGTAGATATACTAAGGTAGAAGCACTATACTATACCTTAGTATCTCTCTAACTTCCGATCTATATAAGACATTCAATTGCATCAAAAAAGTTTGGATATTTTCTTTTTGAATTGCACTATAAAATTGTGAAAAATTGTAGATATAATAAATATTTTTTTACGCGTAACTAATTTCAAAGACATGGTACATTCTTCAACTTCATCATCAATATTGATGCATTCATTGTACTTTATGTATGTTTAAAAAAATTTATTTGAATTCAATAAATATGATACAAAATTAATAAGATATAATGATTTTGATGTAATCAAAATTTGCCGTTACTGAATCTCAAAACACTCTGTAAACTAATAAATATTAATTTATCAACTAAATAATATCTTTATAAAATAATAATATTTTATAATCTCACCTATATTAATTTAGTAAGATTTTTATCGTAGTACTTTTGCTCCTCAACACTAAAAATACTTTACTACAATGCATAAATAAAGTAAATATTTAATAAAAAGAAGTATATTTTAATACTAATTAACAAAACTCTTATAGTTAATATTTTCGTTAAAACAATGATAGACAAAATAAATAATAAGTAAATAAAAAAGTAATTTTGATCAAATATGAAAAATGCATTTAATTATAATTTTGATTAAATATGAGAATGCTCAAACGAATCAATATGAAATTGTAATCTATAAACTAGTCTTATTAAATTCATAAAATATCTTGTGAATTATTCTTTACTGTAGAACTCCTGATAATTTGTCTATTTGATGTCATATGCTTCTAACGCAAATAGTCAAATTACAATCTTTGAAATCAATTTAGGGAAAATGTAAGCATATGTTGCCAAAATAATTATGAATTTGTACTATTTATAAATTTATTTAAATAAATTAATTTTAGAGAGAGTTATTTGTTAATAATAAAGTCAATATATATCAATATTTACAATATTTAAAATGTAAATTGTTTAACATTTAAAGCTTGTTTGAATTGAACAAAAAAAAGTAATTTTTAAGTAAAAAATATAACAAGTCAAACTTAAATAACTTCGAAATCAAAAAATAAAAAGTAAAAACAGAGAGAAACTTACTTTTAAATTCACTTTTTTTAAGTCATTATAAATTTATTCTCAATTATTTTAAATTTTATCAAACACTTGTAAAATTAAAAAATGACTTAAACATAGATTTCATCAACATTTAAGTTCATTTAAATATGCTCTATTGTTGAATATTAAAAAAAAACTTATAATAATTCAAATATATAATTAAGAATAAAATTTTGATAAAATTTTAATTCAAACACAAAATAAAAAAATAAAGAACTAAATATCTAATAACCGTATATTAACTCGTCAGTATAAGTGCATCACGTTATTATTGATTATTGTGCCTATGAAATATCATCTCAATGGCAGGTTTGTCATAAGTTAATTAAGTGGTCACTATAATGGGAGAAAATTTTTTATTACCGTTGAGGTCCAATCAATAAAGATTGTGTAAGATTTTATTTATTTTTTGATATATAGATAAGGAATTAATACCTCGTATAGTCATTAACTATTCATTTTTCTCTCAGAAAGTTACTCAATTTTTAATTTTCACTCAAAAGTCACTCAACTATTGTTTTCTTTCACAGAAAGTCACTCAACTTTGAATTTTAACTCAAAAGTCACTCAACTATCTACTCTTTCCTCAAGAAGTCACTCAACTATCCATTCTTTCCTCACAAAGTCACTCAATCTATTAAATTATTTTTTAATTAAAAATTGTTGATATTAATTATTTATATAACAAATCAAAAATTTTAAAAAATAAATTAAATCATTTAGTGATCCACCCACCTAACTCGACCCATTAAAAAAATATGATATGACCCATTTTATTTTGTCTTTAATCCTAAATTAATCCCTCTCTTTAAACCTTGAATTAGGATTAAAGACAAAATAAAATAGATCATATCATATTTTTTAATTGGGTCGAGTTAGGTGGATAAATCACTAAATGGTTTAAATGGTATTTTTATTTTTTAAAATTTAATTTGTTATATAAATAATTAATATCAATAAATTTTAATTAAAAAAAAATAATTTAATAGATTAAGTGACTTTTTGAGAAAAGAGCGGATAGTTGAGTGACTTTTGAATTAAAATTCAAAGTTGAGTGACTTTCTGAGAAAGAAGTGCATAGTTGAGTGACTTTTGAGTGAAAATTGAAAGTTCAGTGACTTTCTGAGAGAAGAGTACATAGTTGAGTGACCATCTGAGGTGTTAACTCTATAGAAAAGTGAGTTATTTTATGTACTTTTTTCACTTTAAAGTAGAAACTTCTTAAACAAACAAAAGAGAGAAAATATACTTGTGTATAAATTGAGTTGAATAAATATAAAAAATGTAGGAAAAATTATATGTATTTGTTACTTTTTCAATATTATTAATATGATATTAATTTATGAAATTATATCGGAATATTAATGTTGTTGTAGTTGTATGTTAGTTTAACAAATATATTATAATACTCCTATGATAATTTTTTGTGTATGCATGTTGTGTTTTTTCTTTAAAAAAAAAGGTTAAACTCATTGGTGGCCCTTTAAAATTGGTATCGAGTTTCACATAGGCACCTTAATTAGACGATATTCATTTTAGACACTTTAAGTAGGATTCTATCATGTCATTTTGACACTTTTTGTTGAGTTGACATATTATATGCGTTAAACTTACTTTGAGCGCGTGAAAGACATAATTTTATGATTTTTAAATTTTCTTTAAATTTCTTTTCGTCCTTCTCTCTCCTTTCTACACTTACTCCACCATATACCACCATCTTGCCACCATTGTATATCCAACTTTCTCCTCTCTTTGTCATTTCTTGATGTGAAAAATTAAATTAATTATATATATCAAGAAAAATAATTTCAGAAAGGACCAAAAAATATGTCTAGAGCATATATCTTATTCATGTAATCAAATTATTCTACCTAATTTTTTTCATAGTTTCTGTAGGGAATAAATCCGAAACAGAAATAATATTTGCGGTAATAAAGGCAATAAATGTGGAACACAACAATACGGTTAATTAAAGAGAATAAAAGAGAAATAATGACACCAAGATTTTACGTGGAAACCCTCCTAATTAAGGAAAAAATCACGACCCGAGAGGAGCAACGAATATCACTATAGTAAGGATTTTACACTTGTATGTCTGAGTAAAACTCCAAAGACCACTACACATTCAAAAGAAATAACACTCTTTTGATTTTTCCACTTCACTACAATATCGCTCACACTCTCTATTTTTCCTCATTATGTTCCTCCGTGATGCCTCACTCTTCTTTCTCTCCTTTGTAATTCTTTTTGGTGCATTTAGAATGAAGAATTGCCCTCCCTTTTATAGAGAACAAATACACTACCCTCCAGATGTGCTACAGAAGAAAAATATTTTTTTCTTCTTCATAGCTTACCTACTCTGCCAAACTTTGAAATTGGCAGAAAACAATTTTTTCTTCTTCATAGCTTACCAACTCTACCAAACTTTGAAACTGGCACAAAGTTATTCAAAGTTTGGTACATGGGGATGGACCCCACATTCTCCCCCTCCAGTCCCATTCACCTGAAGGAGGTAGCTCTAGGTTTCTAGCTTAAGTGCGTGCTGACAAGTTCTTTACATAACTTAAACTTGTCTTTTGATACCACCTTGGTCAACATATCTGAAGGGTTTTCAGTAGTAGGGATCTTCATGACCTGCATAGATCCGTCCTCTATCTTTTCACGAATTCAGTGATATATTACGTCGATATGCTTCGTCCTTGCATGATACATGGTGTTCTTGCTCAAGTCTATTACTGTCACAATAGACGACATACTCCTTCTAATGCAATCCAAGTTCTTGAAGAAATCGTTTCAGCCATACCATCTCTTTGCCACCTTCTGTAGTTGCAATATATTTTGCCTCAGTTGTAGAGAATGCGACACACTTCTGCAACTTTGACTGCCATGATATAGCTCCCCTTGAAAATGTAAACAAAAATCCAATAGTGGATTTTCTATTATCGAGGTCACCTGTCATATCAGCATCAGTATAGCCCTTCAAGATTGGATCAATTCCTTTAAAACACAAGCAATCTCTTGTGGTACCTCTTAGATACCTGAGTATCCACTTAACTGCCTCCCAGTGTTCTTTTCCAGGATTTTCAAGGAATCTGCTAACAACACCAACTGTTTGAGCAATATCAGGTCTTGTACACACCATCCATACATCAAACTCCCCACTGCTGAAGAATAAAGAACTTTAGCCATTCCCTCTTTCTCCTCTTTTGTTGTAGGACACATCTGTTTGCTCAACTTCAGATGACTCGCAAGTGGCGTGCTAACATGTTTAGCACTCTTCGTGTTGAAGCGTTCTAGTACACGTTCAATGTACTTCTCTTGAGATAGCCACAACTTTCTTTTTGTTCGTTCTCGAACAATCTTCATCCCTAGAATTTGTTATGCTGGGCCCAAGTCTTTCATGTCAAATGACTTGGACAAATCTTTCTTCAACTTTGCAATCAGCTCTTTATC